AAAAAAAAAAAAGATATTTGAGAGAAAGCGAGAAGCCACATTCTTCACCCTTTAATTATAGTATATTCTTATAACTGTTCTGCTTTATTATCAATTCTGGTTATTATCTCTTACTGTGCCTCATTTATAAATTAAACTTTATCTTACATATGTATGTGTAGGAAAAAACCTAGTACACATGTAAGAAGGGCTCGGTAATACCACATCTTCAGGCATCCTCTGCAGCTATTGGTATCTCCTGTGCATAAGGTTAGACTGCTGTCACCACAAGGAGAAGGTCAAATTGAGTTAACCAATGCATTCACTTAAAACAAGAAAAAACACAAGCAATAGTAACCACATTTTATCCTTTATACACAACACCAGGCCACTAGCTAGGTTTGACTACTTTATCCTGACGCAAGAGTCTACTTTGGGGCTTTAAAAAAATGATTAAATTTATCTGGGAGAGATAAGAGAACAAAGCTAAAAGAAATCAATTTCCTATATGTTTCTGAAAAAGTACCACATTTTCCAGTGATCTATGTCCTCACTCAACTTGTTGCCATTGAAATGCCACTGTTTGAATATGAATTTCATGACACTCTGATCTAATCTACTTTTTAAGTCAGTAATGAAATAAATAATCCAATTATTTTTACAAAAATAGCACTTATAAAGCATCTTTTTACTAACAAAGGATATTCATGTACATTAACTCATTTGCTGCTCACAAAAATCCTGTAACAGGAATCTGTTAACAGTATCTATATATGACAGCCAAAGGCTGCAATCCAGACAGTGGGGGGCTGCCCCCAGACCCCTACAGAGGGACTAAGTAGTAGAGCCAAAGCAGGCATCTTCAAACTAAGGCCCACAGGCCACATGCGGCCCGCCTAGGACATTTATCCCGCCCACCAGGTGTTTTGCCGCCACTGCCTGTCCTGCTTAGCAGCTGACTCATCCTGAGGCCTACAGTCCGGCCCTCTAACGGTCTGAGGGACAGTAAACTGGCCCTTGTTTAAAAAGTTTGAGAATCCCTGAGCCAAAGAATGGCCCTTTCTCACTATAGCATGATGCCTTCAGGGCATACTGGAACTGCTATTAAAATGGATTTGCCCTTCTCATCACATCTTATTTAAGGATTATTTACATGATTATAGTCCTTGAACTGACACAAACTGGTGGCAATGTCAATGGTGCAAAAGTATTCTAAATGAAGTTAAAAGAGGTTATTATTCTTTAAACCACATTGTAAAATTCAAACCTACGAACAAACATTTATTTACCATTTACTACAAGCTGAGCCCCAGAAATAAACTAAGGGCCAGCACACAAGCTAGAGGAGGTGACAGATACACAAGCAGTGAAAGTAATGAACCAACTTCCATCTCCTGCCCTTTCAGAGGGCCTAAAGGTGCTCTCACCAGAGTCACGGTGACCTCCAGGGTCAAATCCAGGGATCACATCTATGTCTTCACCCTCCGAGAACTCTAAGCAGCATGACACAGTTGACCTTCCCTCCTTAAAACACTCTTCCTATGTCATCAATGACCTCCTTTCCTCCCTTCTCTATCCCTCTTCTATCAGACCTCTACACCTACTGGGCCCAAGGCCCCACACTGGGCTCCCCTCCCCACCCCCTCCCCACTCCATCTACACTCCAACTTACTTTATCTGGTTTCATAGCTGTACAATACAAAGAGTAAGCTGGTGACCTCCAAAATTACCTATCCCCATCCCTGACCTTCAGAACCACATATCCAACCCCATCCTTGCCATCCAAGCTTTGGAGTCCTAAGAGGTGTATTCAACTGAACGTAACTTTCAATTCCTCATCCACAGAACTTCCTCATCCCCACCACCAATTCCTCACCCACAGTAGGTATATAGCACCTCCATCCTCAACATTACTCTAGAAGAACCAGTGGGTCCTCTTCTTGATTCCATCCTTCCCTCAGTCCCCAATATCCATTCCATCAGCAAGTCTTATCAAAGTATGTCCCAAGTCACTCCACTTCTCCACGACACATACCACAGCCGTCCAAGCTTCCCACATTTCCCGCTTGCAGCAGGTACCCACTCCCGAACTGGCCTCTGCTCACAATCGTGTCCCCTATCATTCTCCTCATTACAAACCAGAGTGATAATGCTAGACACAAATCAGATCAAGACAATCAGATCAGATCCCTCACCTAAACTCTTCCAATGGCTTCCTACCACAGTTCAAGTTGACAGAGCTTCCTACAAGGCCCTACGTGATCCGGCCCTGCTCCTACACTGATCATGCCCGACACACTCCTTCCCCTGCTCCTATTCCCTGCTCACTGACCTGCTTCTGCTCCCCAAACATCCACGCTCTCTGAGGCTCCAGGGCCTGTTAGTGCAGTGACTGTCAACAGGAATGCTGTGACATACTGGTGTGCCATGAGAGCATCTTAGGCAAAAATTTTTAAAGATCGTTAACTAAATTATTTTCAAAAGGAGTTCAAAGCATAGTAAGTATATTCTCTTTTCACTCATTTTTTTGATCAACATAATTTAAGTGTGCCATGGAAGTTTAACTATATACTCGAGCGAGCTGTGAGATAAAAAGGATTGAAAAACAATGGCCTAGAACGTGACTCTTGTAGATCTCCGCATGGCCGGCCCCTTCTTTTTCAATTCTCAACTCAAACAGTATCTCTCTCATTGTCAAGTGTCACAGCCCCCCAGCCCCCACACACTTGAGCACACACACACACACACACACACACTCCATCATATTACTACATTGCCTGGTTCTAGTTTTAGCTTAGTACCACCTATCACTAGTAAAATAAAATAGTTTTGCTTACTTGTTTCTTCTCTTTCCTCCCCTTTGGAATGTAGACTCCTTGAAAATAAGGGCCTTGTCTTTCATGTTTACTATTTTATCGCCAATGCCTAAAATGGTATCTAGCATATAGCAAGCAAGCAATAAACAATTGTCAGATTAATGAATCAAGTATTATAATGGAGATAATCAAACATCAGGAGAATGCAGAGGAGACATTTCTTACTTCCGCCTGAATGGGTCAGGGAAGGCTTACCTGAAAAGAGGAACACTAAGTCACCTTTGTACATGAGCCGAAGTTTACTGAGGAAGAGCAGAGGGAGGGGAAAAGAAGAGTGTGCTCTGAAGAGACAGCGTGAGAAAGGCCTGGCCTGCTATGCTGAAGAGCTGCCAGGAGAGACAATGGTCTTCGGGATCCTCTGGAGCAGAGGCAGGAAATGAGACCCACAGGGACTCATCCTAATGGGAGAAAACCATTAGGGGACTCGGGACTAGGACTAGGACTTCAGAGGCAGCAGGGAGCCTCTGGCAGGCTAAGCAAAGCAGAGACATGATTGGTTGTATTTGATAAAAGGTCATCCTAAGGTCAGCATGGGGGATGAATTACAGTACGACAGCTAGAAGCTGAGATACAGAGGAGAGTCAGGGACAAAACCCTGGGACATTACAATATAGAGAGTGGCAGAGAATGAAGATCCAGAAAATGAAAGTGAGAATGCAGGCCCATGGAGTAAGATGAAAACCAGACAATGCGTTGTCATGGAAGCCCAGAACCAAGCTGCAGCTGAAGAGTGCGGTCAGGCTGCAGACGGAATCTAAGGAGTTATCAGCTTGTAGATGGCACCTCTCTGCGCAAGTTTTCTGCCACCCACATACTCCCCAGATCTTATATATTTGGGGGAGGAAGGAAGTTGCTGGATCACTCATAATTATTCTACAGTTTTAAAAGAGAAAAACATAAATATGAGCTTACTGATGATTTTATTATCTTAGGTTACATAAAATAAAGTGTTTTGCTTATTATTGTTTGTAAACAACTAAAAAAATGTCAGACCAGGTCCAATATAGGATCAGAAAGAGTTATTTTAAAGTCATGAAACCAAAAGTGATAATGAAGACAGTTAAGAGCTTTTGGAATGGGCCTGGAGCAAGGTAATGGCTGGAGAGAGAGGGAAGACAAAGAACTATTAACGCCAAGAAAGTAAAGACAAGTAACGACAAACTTGCTGTGAGGGAGGCAAACCACAAAGCAGAAGGGTAACAGTTACAAAAAATGAATAAATAAATAAGGCAGGGGAGAGAAGGTTTGAGGGCAGCAGACAGGGTGGACATGCTGACACTGCGACCACCAGCCATCCTGAAGACCCCTGATGAGTCCCAAAGACAGACCCCCATGTGGATTAGCACTCACCAAGTCAAGGTTCAGAGGCTTTAGGAAACTTTCTAAAAACAGGTGGGAAATTGAATCCACAGATCTTAAGGAAGATAACAGTTAATTACTGACTACCCCCATGTGCCAGCCACCACTCCAAGAGAAATGGGATGGTGCACAGAGGCAAAGTTCCTGCTCTCACAAAACTTCCCCAGTAAGTGAAAACAGAATATAAACACTCACACATAGACAAGCAAAGAAAAAGGTAAGAGTGAGGGATACTGTTCTGCAGAAAATAAGAGAATGATATAACACATAAGGGCAGAGAAAAGGTGGGGAAGGCAAACAAGGCTCCGTGAAGGAGAGACGTGAGCTAGAAGCTGAGGAATGAGAAGGTGCCAGCTGTGCAATGCACAGAAGGGGGAAGGATGGCCTCCAGAGACCTCACGGAAGGGGAAG